AAAAATTGATATATATATATATATATATATATATATATCAAAAATAAATATACCAATATATCAAAATTATCGTTGTCGTTCTTTATTCCTTTCAACTCTCTCTCTCTTACAGTACATGCATACGTACAAACTAAGTATAAAACTCAATACGTACAACCCAATACGTAAAACTCAATACGTAAAACTCAATACATAAAGCTCGATACATAAAACTCAATGCGTAAAAGACTAAGTACAAGTCTAGATATAAGTATAAGTAAAACGCAATCTAAAATACATAAAACTTAATACATAAAACTCGATACGCAAAACTCAATATAAAAGGTATAAGTACAAGTCTAGGTACAAGTAAAACGCAATCTAAAATACATAAAACTTAATACATAAAACTCGATACGCAAAACTCAATATAAAAGGTATAAGTACAAGTCTAGGTACAAGTAAAACGCAATATAAAAGTATAAGATACATAAAACTCAATACACAAAACTCAATACGTAACACTCAATACATACAGGTACAAGTTCGAGTATAAGTATAGGTACGAGAAGACTCAATACATAAAAACTCAATACATAAAACTCAATACGTCTAGGTATGAGTATATGGTAGGTATAATCTCAGTATAAAAGTAAAAGATACATACAACTTAATACGTAAAACTCATTACGTCTAGGTATGAGTACAAGTAAAACTTAGTATAAAATACATAAACTTAATACGTCAGTACGAGAAAACGCAATATAAAAGTAAAAGATACATAAAACTTAATACGTACGATACGAGAAAACGCAATATAAAAGTAAAAGATACATAAAACTCAATATGTCTAAGTATAGGTACTAGTACAACGCAATATAACAGTATAACATACTGTTACCTACGCCTATGCTAAACGTCACGACATGCGCGGCTAGGCAACGATCTGTATGTCGACAGTCAGAAGGTCGACATCGGGAGTTGTGTTCAGACATTCAAAATAGACACACTCTTTCGTATTATCACTAGGCCTTCCGCATATTCTGATTAGCACATAATTCTCAATAAAATAAGAATTAAAGATTAGTGACAAACACAACAATTGGCGACGAGGATAATGGAGTTTAAAGAGGCACTCATGGCACTCACGCAGCAACAACAATTGTTCATGCAACAGCAGCAGCAGCAACAAGTACTCTTGCAGCAGCAAATGAAGCAACAACAGGATTTTATGAATCACATGTCTACGATGTGGACTAAGTCAACGGATTCTTCGCAGAGGAATGCAAAAATGGAATCATTAGCAAATTCCATGACCGAATTCATTTACGATCCAGAAAATAATTTGACTTTCGATGTGTGGTATGTAAGATATCAAGGTCTATTTCAAGAGGACGCACAGGATTTAGACGACGCATTCAAGGTCAGACTTCTATTACGAAAAATAAATACAATTTCGCATAAACAGTATGTTGATTACATTCTGCCAAAGATATACAAAGACTTTGATTTCCAAACCACAGTGAGCAAACTCACACAATTATTCGGAAAAAAAAGTTCTCTTTTTCATCAGCGATATGATTGCATGAATACGACAAAATCACCAAATCAAGATTTCGTTTCACTTGCAGCGCTAGTAAACAAACGTTGCGAGGAATTCAAAATTTCTACAATCACTGCCGATCAATTTAAATGCCTTATTTTTGCATGTGCTTTAAGATCGCCTGCGGAAGCCGATATACGAACAAAACTTCTCAACTTAATCGATACAAAGTCAGATACACTTACAATTGACGATCTTACAAGAGAATGTCAGCGATTAATCAATCTCAAGCATGACACATCAGTGATTCAAAACCAAAAATCGACAGAGTCCAATGCCGTAGCGATTGTCAAAACTGATAAACAACGTAAACCGCAGGTGACAAACTCAAATAAATCAAGGAATCTGCAAGGTAAGAAACAAATCAAAAATTCTTTACCTAACAAAGATTCAACACCTTCAACACCGTGTTGGTTTTGCGGACAATTGCATTATTCTAAGTTTTGTACTTTCAAAAATCATAAATGTCAAAAATGTAATACTGTCGGTCACAAAGACGGATATTACGCTTCAACTCAGAGAGTCAAAACGAAAACAAATAACGAAACGGCAAATCAAAACATCAAGACGATTAAGGTCAATCAAGTAAATTCAAATCTTACTCGCAAATTTGTGAATATTTCGATAAATAATCAACCAATTAAACTTCAACTTGATACGGGATCAGATATTACCATTATATCAGAAAAGATTTGGTCTTTGTTGGGAAAGCCTACAGGTTGTTCAACGTCTCATGTTGCACGTGACGCGTCGGGAAATCAGATCAATTTCAATCAAGAAATTTATTGTGAAGTAACCTTGAACGGAGTTATCAAACAACTACGATGTTTCGTAACAGCAAATTCGGATCTCAACATCATGGGTCTCGATTGGATCGCAGCTTTCGATTTATGGCAATGCAGTCTCAATAGCTTCTGTTCCAAGATCCATTCTCAAGCAGATTCGACGCACTTTGATATATCCTGCATTAAAGAAAATTTTAAAGAGGTTTTTTCCTCTCAATTAGGTCGTTGCACAAAGACTAAAGTCAAACTGAATTTAAAAAATAATTCAAAACCTATTTTCAGACCTAAGAGACCGGTTGCTTACGCAATTTTACCTTTAGTCGACGCAGAGCTTACAAGACTGGAACAAAATGGAATCATTTCACCAATCAAGTATTCAGACTGGGCATCCAATAGTTGTAGTAAGAAAAAAAAATAGAAAGATTAGGATCTGTCCGGATTTCTCAACTGGACTTAACGAATCATTGGAACCTAATCGTCATCCACTTCCATTACCAGATGAAATATTTTCGCAACTGTCAAACTGTAAGTATTTCAGCCAGCTAGATTTGTCAGACGCATTTCTTCAAATTGAAATAGAGGAGCAATCAAGGCATCTTCTAACAATCAATACTCACAGAGGTTTATACGTTTATAATCGTTTACCTTTCGGAGTCACCATAGCTCCAGGTGAATTTCAATCAATTGAATTTCAAACACAACACATACGTAAAAGTATAAGTATATGTACATAACACTCGATTCGCGAGCTACACTATCCGGTAATGCCCCCACGGTAAGGTGTTCACAGAGTCGGGTACGACGTATCGTTTGTCGTCGTACAGACTCAGAGCGGTCTTCTTCTCCGACACCGTGTACACCCGGTGTAACTTGGATCGTATGCACGCCTGCCTGCGCGTCATTTCGATGTCCTCCTTCAGACACCGGGTGTAATCCTCGAACGATATCGTCCACGCTACGACGCTGCTCTTCACCCCCTTCGCCTTCTTCGTGTCCCTCTTTCCGTCCACGCGCAGCGCGTACATCTTCGCTCTGAGCCCGACGAACTCGGTCATGATGGCACCGTTGTTCTCGTCCTTCATGAGACCGAGTACCTTCTTGTTCGCGAGAGGCATACCGTACGCGTTGTTCGCGGGATAGTCGCTCGTGTCGAATCTGTCTATGTCGCGTTTCATGGTTTCGTACACGTCATCGCACTCTATACGGTAAATCAGACTGTCCGTGTCGGTGTACACGATCTTGCATCTATCGCGGAACAGCGGCGTCATGTACTCGTGGTGAAACTCGTACAGGCACGTTTTCGAAATGTCCAGGATGCACATACCCACGTAAATAGGCTTGTCGAATTTCACCTCGAGTTTCCGCAATTCGACCGCTATCAGGTTTTCCTCGAAGGCGCTGCGGCTGTGAAAGTTAGGTTTCGCGATCAACGCCTCCGCGCCGTACCGTCCTTCCCACGCCGTCACCAGTTTAACGTCGACGCGATCGCGCACGTTCTCCATCGTCTTGCCGAATACCGCGTTGTTCATCAGTTTGTACAGGTTTTTCTCGAAATCGTTCCGCGCGCGCGTTCGAAACTGCGTGTTGAGTTCTATGTAGTCGCGGAGCCAGGCCGATTGCGCGAATCGCAACACTCGATGGATCTTCGTTACGCGAAGGCCGTGACGCGTGCACTGTTGAAGGTTGCGGTAGTGGACGACGTACCGCTGCTTGTCGAGTACCGTCGCGAGAAGCTTGTAGTCCCGCTTGCCGGGCGGCTTCGCGCGCGTCGGGCAGAACGGCAGATCGGCGTGCGCGTCGTGGAGACGTCGCGGTTACTCGAGATCCACCTCGAGGATGTACCCGGTGGGTGAATCCAACGCGACGGTAGTATAGTCGAAAGTGTGCGCGTCGTCGACCCATGCAAAGTCGGCGTAGGGCAACGGTTGGCACATCGCCCAGCCGTACAGGTTGTTGACGTCGTAATACATGAGGTACGACGACGGTTCCGACGAGTCGTACGCCTGCATGTACCTGTTATTAGCCTTTGCGTATCTGCCGGAACACTGGCTGAGGCCGCCGCGTATGCCGCGCTCGACGAACATCACCATATCGATGTCGGTGAGCAACTCGAACTTCACGCGCGTATGTTTAAGCATCGCGTCCCACGTGAAACCGGGCAGGGTGTAGTAATGCGCGGGATCGAGACCGTAACTCGCGACGCAACTGTCGCGAAAGTTCTCAAACACATTGGCCAACAATAGCACGTCAGTTTTCAAGTAGAGATCACTGTACTCGCCGAGCGTCCGCACGGAGAACCGCTGCCACACGTTCTCGGCGTGCGCGTATTCGCTCTCGGACACTGTATCGCCTGTCAGCGAGCTGTGGAACGATTCGCGCGGCGGCAAGCGCGTATCGTTAAGACTCTCTACGCTGTCCACGTACTCGTAGGGAAACACCCCTTTACGGGTGAGCAGATCGAAGTCTTCGTCCGATAGAGCCGAAAATTCGAAACGCACAATTTTCAGTTTGTCCTTGTCGAGGTACGACGCCAATTTTTCCAGACTCGCACTCAGAAACTTATACGAGTCTATGAACCGTAGTTTCACGCACTTTCGTGAATCTTTGTCACTGGTGTCACTGGTGTCCTTGACGTGTTTCGTGAAGGAGATGTACTTCTCCTTGGTCAGGGGAAGCAGATCCACTTGTCCCTGGAATCGCGTAGCTATTTCCTGTACGACGAAGTGCGCGTCGTACCCCGACAGGTTATGGAATACAACCGGAACGTACGGAGAGTCCTTGTAGTTCATGTTGCAGCCCTTGTGCGCCGAACCGCGGTACCGCCCGGTGAGGTGGCAGTGGTCGCGCGCCCGCTCGTCACCCGGGGCGAACGGCAGATGTGGCAGTGCGTCGCGCTGTCGAATCGCCGCCAGTCGTCGCGCGTAAAGTCCATGGGCAGGTTGGTCGTTATTATATTTTTCACGCGATGCACCAAAGCCTCTAGCTGGCGCGCGAACCAGCTCACGCAGTCGTTGCCCCGCCGACATCTGTACTCGGATAACGCGCCGTCGTACGAGCAGTGCACGTAGTACGCTATGCTGAACGCCTCGTGCCGCTGGTACGCGTACGACGCCGCCGATGGTGATGCATCCTCGGTTTTCCGCAAGACGCACTCCAAGTCGGCGTACACTATAAACGGCGCCCGCTCCTTCCTGCAGTGTTTCTTAAACTCCAGCCATTTGTTGTCTGTGCTCGGTAGGCGGATAGCGCACTCGTTGAGCTTTTGGTAGTCCTCGCTGTGTCTCTCCAGTTTCTCGTTGGAGGAGAAGTAGTGGAGGCAACTGCGTTACTTATTAGTACATTTTTTTTTTAATATAATATTTTATTTTACTTATTGCACTTACCGGTCGCAGAAGTATATCTTATTCTTCTTTTTGGTAACTTGCGACCTCACGAGGCGGGAGAGATGTTTAATACATACAAAGTGGCCGTCGCCGTCTTGCACGTACAAGAGATTGACGTGCCTCTCCCTCTTGCAGTCGGTGAGCCGCAGAGGGAGGACGTCCCCGTCCTCGATGCCGTACACGTTAATCGAGATATTGTTCGAACGCTCGCAACGGCCTTAAGCGTTACCGGAAACTCGATATTCGCGAAGTTGAGCACTTTGGAATAATGCGGATACGACGCTGTTCGATTCACATGATTGTCCGCAGGGTACAAAGCTGCGATCACCGACCACGCGAAGCACGCATTGTCGTTCGCCCTTACGTTGACCAGCGCGTGCTTGTTCTTAAATTTTTCAGGTACTGTAACATGACACTCCGCGCGCATGGGATTGAGTTTATTCACATTGACCGTCAGGTTCAGGATACGCGAGAGCGCCCACCTGCTGTCGCGCTCCTGATGCTCCTCGAGCGACGCCAACGTGGGCTCGATAACGCGCGACGCGTACCACTCGCGCAGATCGGTGCACCGATACAGTTCGCAGTTTTTAATGCCCATGACTGTGCCCATGACGTGTTTATGCCCATGACTGTGCGTTTGTCACCCGCGACGAACTCGCCGTTGAAGGCGGTGTTCACTTTCACGCTACCATGTATGTCTATAGCGCCCCGCACACGCTCGAGCACTACACTTTCGGCGTCTTCGAGGAATTGTCGAGGCTCGATATGCCTGGAGTTTATAACGGCACCGGTTAGAACGCGATTGGTAAAAGCGGCTGGCAAAAGCGGCGTCGATCTCGCGCCAAGCGAGAGATCTGTCGCCATCGCCCACGCCATGACCCACGTGCACGAATCGTCGTTCCAACTATGTTCGCGCACCCTCGAGTCGCGCGATCCTCGCCACCGCGGATTGTCTGTGACCGACGGTAAGACGCGGACGCTTGGCGCTACACTCGAGGCTCTCGATGCACTCTTTGCACCTCTCCAACCACGCGAAACACTCGCGGACAGGATGCGTCTCATCGCAACGATCGTGCCCTGGTATCCTTTATCATCACCACCTCGGCCTTTTTACCACTATAAGTGTCCATTGTGATGTTACCACAGGAAGCCTCGAGTTCATCCTCGAATTTATCCCCCACCCATTCATAGTCTTTTGCGTTTATGCACCGATCGCGTAATCGCGTGTACGCTTTCCGTCTAGCGAGCGATGACCATCCGTAAGCGGGGTACGTGGTCACGTTTACGTTTTTCACAACGCGATCACCGTCTATCTCACGATCGCGCAGTACCCGCACCGGCGATGTCCACGCACTATGGTCCAGCGGATTTTCGAGCACGTTTTTAACGTCTTCAGCGAGTTCGTTAACGTACCTACAAAACTCGTTCCCAATCTACGTCCAGCAACCCCAACGGATCTTCGTTATTCGACATATTATTTTTCCATTACACTGTGCAGATCGGGCACACACTGCACGGGAACACCAGACACATCAGATTCCGGCAATTGGAGCACGTTTCGGCGCTGAGTACCTCGATGAAATCGGTATCGTGCTTCCTGATCAACAGCATCGACCCAACTTCGGCGATGTTGACCATGCACTCGGCACACAGGGCTAGCGCTCCGCCGTGTAACACTGGATCTGGCAGTGTTTAACGCGAAAAACACCCAATGCCCGGATTTGCGCGTCCGGGATAATTTTTCGCACACGATCGGCAGCGTTCTCAAGATCGCTGACTCATCCAGTATCGTTCGATAGAACACTGTCGTCGGAAGACTCAACGTTCATAACGTCTTCGACGACTTCGTCGACGTCCATCACTTCGTCGATCACTGTGTATATTATAATAGCACATAACACCACGATCGGAGCGCGACACTTAATGAGGCGCACTGCGCTTCCGACTCGTTATTTATACCGTTTGCGGCTTCTTTGTCAGCGTGAACGCGTCTTCCTAGAAGAAATATCTCGCAAGATAACGCATAGTAATTTGT